GCACTATCAAACTGCTGCTATTTTGAGCTGAGCTGGGTTTAGAATATTTAGCAAAGCATTAGATGAACAGCACCCACATGCATTCATTCTCCCTCTCTTTCTCCAAATATTTGTATCCCTGTAAAAATGTATCTTGTCTTGTCAAGAGTACTGTGAATAATAAATAAGAAGTAAGGGCCAGATAGCTACCCCCAATTTACATTTCTAAGCAGCTACTCACACAAATAATACACTTGAAGTAAGTGCTCATCTATCTGAGCAAGTGCTTTACTATAAGGTCCTTTCCATTTAATACTATTTTGGGGCATTAGCTTGGGAAGACTTGATTTTACCTATTTCCTATATAGAAAATAACAATGGCAAGGCAGCACACCCTGAGGTGATGAGGTGACATGTGACTGGATTATTTCATTTCTTCCCAATTCATCGTTGTTTAGACTTTTAAATCTTTTTAACACCTTTGACACCATGCATATGTACAAAAATACACGAGACAAGCAAAAAAAAAAAAATAGACGGGTTATGAAAGCAAAAGGTCAGGGTTGTTGCATCAAACCTGCCACATCCCTGGCATCCCTATACCTCTTACTCGCTCAACTACGCTTTCTTTTACGTACAGAGAGAATTGCTCTCATCACATGGGACTCTTCAGCACTGCCGTTCACCTTACAAGTACCGTGCTGGCATGGGGCAATTCCTGCGACGTCAACATACCAAGCTTTTAAAATCAAGAGACAACACATTAAGTTTTCAATCCTCTGAACTTTTAGGGGGCTTTTCACAGCCACGTAGAGGTTAAGCTATACTGTCTGTGTGGTGTACTGATTCAGAGCTTTGGCCAGCCAGATTTTATTTAGGTCATCTACCTACAGGTTAAAATCGCTCTCTGCTGAAGGGGGTTAGCCCTGGATCCATCTCCTGCCCTCCAGAGGGAAGGAATTCACCTTGAAGGTAGCTGCAGATGCCACTGTCCCACAGACATGAATCCAGCCTTTTGTATGATCTGAAACAGTTGTAAAGCATGAGGTTGAGATAAATGTTGGTTGCTTTAGGAGCACATGCTGTCCATGTCCACCATGTAAATGCTTATTTGCAAGGACAAGGACTTGGCTTTGTATGGGCATAGACATTTGGGGACACTTTGCGGGGCCATCCTTTGCAATCCAGCCCATACTGAAAGAGTCGAAATTCCCATTCTGTTGCTTCATCATGGGTAATAATAAGCTCCTGATTTTGTAGCATGCCCCATGACAGTAGGCAGAAGGCACAGTCAGGAATAGAAAGGGCAACCCACAATTGGACCAACTACTCCCCATCCTGGTCCCTGCTGCCTTCGCTGGAGTCTGTGCAGGAAAGCAGCCTAGAGCTACTGTGCTAAGGGAACTCCATTTCACTGCAACCCTTTACAGCCCCTATATGTCACCAAAGAAAGTGGCCATAGTAGGGGCCAGGTTCTGGTTCAAACCTGACACCCTTAAAAGTTTTTAACATGGACACTTGTGACTTCTCTAATCAGTACATTCATCTTCTGCTTGCTTACACTGCTTCTCGGACACTTTGGCCCTGCTGCTGGAGTTGCATATGTGGTGGGGGGGTCTAACTAATTATAGCATTGCACGACTGATGTTTTAGAGATGTTTCCAGAGGGATAATCCCCTCGTTAATCCCTACAAACAACCCTGACTCCTTGAATAATCAAAGCGATTAAGCAACAATTCACTGTAAGTTAATGTGTGGGCATAATTAAACAGTTGTAATACATTCATGTAGTAGTAACTGAGTCATGAACCTGCACTCTCCTCTAGAAAGATTAAATTCATTACAACCAACAGATGTGCCCAAAGCAGCCATCTGAACCTAACAGCTTTAACAGCCATTCTTTGATCAAGTACTCAAACTGCAGTGTCTGACATGAAATTTCAATGGGAAGGAATAGCCTAGATGCCATCTCACTGTTCTGCTCTAAAACAATAACTAGAAAGGAAATGTGTAGGCAGCAAGATGCCTTCCCCAGAATTTAGCTGGAGGGAATATTTTATATAATATTTCCCATTAATCCCATTGACTATCATGGGATTAGAGGCAAGGATTTCTTAGGGTGATGCCTATTGGACCAACTCTGTAGTTGGGATAAAGTGAGACAAACTTTTGAATGTAAGCTGTTCTTCTTCAGGTCTCCTCAGGCTAGACAAGCTTCCATTCGAAAGCTTGTCTCACTTTATCCCAACTACAGAGTTGGTCCAATAAAAGATATCGCCCTAAGAAATCCTTCCCTCTCGTGTAATTTCTAGACCATCACAGCTACAACATCACTCTAACACTGCCGTAACATGCAATTCGAGGGCACCAGGCTTGGAAGGATATAGCCTAAGATATTAAAAATGGCAGCAGGTCTAAATACCAGTGGCATGGAATCAGCCATTCATCTCTCTGATGTGTATAACAATATATCACATCATTTATTCAGTGTGGGGATCTTTTTGAAGCACATTTTAAACAGCAAAGCTCTCTTGTTTCTGTACCATTATAACAATGCCAAAGCACTCGGTCCTAAAGTCAACATTTGCCCCAGTATCTTGGTCAAATTACTTCTCCACTTCTCTGCTCTCGGCAGAGTTGTGAGCAGTGTGGGGCTATTCGAATCCATACCAGATGTCAACAAACACCGTGGAGCCTTCTCTATACTATGGACTGCAATGGTCTGGCCGGGACCATAAGATCACAGTGTTGCTTAGGATCTAGCTACAATAGCTCTATATCCACTGAGGATTCCCTATACACATGGTGAATCCCCATTGAGGGAGATGTGGCCAGTCTGTTTTTCCTTCACCCTGATAGAGTTTCTTATAAGAGCATGGTGAAAAATTGGCCTATGAAATCTTATAAGATGGGCTGAGCAGATGGTGGCTATTTACTCTCTACCTAGCCTTCCTCTGATGTAAAAATCCATCGACTAGGGAGGAGTTCAGTTTCACTTAATCTGAGCAGCGATCGCATTCATAATAAATAACAGCTAACCCTGCAGTTTAGCATCTTCCGCTTTGAATTTTTGGAAAATTAAACTATGCATTACTAATGTTACTGTTATCTGCAGCAGACCAAGTAGAAGTCTATATGCAGCAAGCAAACATTTTGCAAACAATCATTTTGTTTTGGATCTTCACCTTGTATTCTTACCATGATTATTTCTGTGCCTAACATGAAACATGGGATAGATCACAGAAGTTTCTTTTTTTGCAGGGGGGAAGGGGAGGGGAGAGGAGGGGAGGAGAGTTGGGGAGGAGTTAATGGGTCAGTTCACCTCTACAATAGTAGTTCAAGTCTAGCCCAGATTATTTAGTGACTAAGAGCCTTGTACTTGCTGCTTGCTGGATGGTTGAAGAAATAGTTATGAATAATAAAGCTCTATAGAATTTTTCACATTTAGGTTGTTGGTCTAAATCTGTCTCTCACATTAATAGTTTTCTTGGGAATTTCAGTAGTGTCTTTAAGTATAATATCTGTTTGCTGAGGAGTTATAATTTAGTAACTACAATATTATTTTAGATGTTTTTTTGGCCTGTGAAAATTTTTATAAAACTCCTTGCAAGGAATAATATTACTCTGGTACTTGAATTATTCCCTAAGTATCCATAATACATTACTAATATGAAATACTGTTAATACATGAGTTATGTTGTATTATGTAGATACAAAGGCAAAACTGTAAAGATGTAAATGGCAGTTAGCATAATTTGACTTGAGTGTAACTAATGTTACAAAACATTTCCCGATTGTCAACCAATACAGCATGCTATATCCATATCTGCATACAATAGATACTGTGACTTTCCTGCGACTTATTAAAAATCCTGGAGCTATGCCCTAATTTATTTGCAGCTTATAAATATACCAGAAGGGAAAAAGGCACTTTACCAATTCAGACTTTTCTCTTTTACACGATTTTAGTAACACATACTTAAAGGATATTATCTTAATAGATCTTTAATCACTTTGATCAGCATTTATTTCAATGAGTAGTCAGTGAGATTACTTCTATGACTAATGTTCAATAGTATAAAGTAGGCTAACACCCTACTGACACAAAGATGATAAAAGTTGATCCACAAAAAGCTCCTTAAAGCTCTGAGGAACTTTGGATCCAGAAAGCTAGTCTGGATTTGTGTTGGAAAGTTGGACCTAGGCTGAGAAGTCTGGACTCCTCCAAGTTTAAATGGGGTCAGTTCAAGCATTCTGGTTCAGGACCATCATTAGATGGTCTAATTTCCCAGATTTTCTATAAAATCTCTAATTTCTATGAAATCTATGAAATTAGATATGAAGTATTTATTTGGTGGGACGTTGGTATAATACTACATTGAGAATGCTGGAAGCATTCTTGCTAGTACTCATTAGAGTTGGCAAGCCGGTCAACTGACTGGTCAAATATTGTCAATTGACTCCATGTTTTTTGACCAGTCAAAGATTATTGTAATTTTACCAAAAAAAAAATGCATTTTTTATAGTTTTCTTGACAGAAATATGATTTTTTTTGTTTTTTGACACATTTCTTAATGGAAAATTTGAGCTTTTTCTGTGTATTGTTTGGATCTATTGGCATTTTTTTTTTCTTTTTACAGTTTTGACCAATATTTGACCAGCCAAATTGACCAAGCTTTATTTGACCAGTCAAATACCCAACCCTAGTTCTCATCTACTTTCAAGCAATTTCTCCCCTTGGAATTTCAGCCGCTAAGTTTAGGCCAACTGGAACACAAAAATAGTTCCACAACTTAGTAAGATGAAGAATGTGGGACTCAACACACTTAAATTTATACACTGACATAAATGTGAAAGTAAAAGCAGAGCACAAACATAATAGTTCTAGCACAGACAGCCATACTGACTTGGATGGGTTCGCAGAGACACTAATGAGGACACAACTCAGGGTCATACCGTAGTGGCAAGTAAATGTGACTGTGGGAGAGAAGCAACTATGCAAGAAGAATGGGTATACTTACCACAATGACAAACAGGGCTGGAGCCACAAAAGCCCAAATTGCTCCATTCTCCAGCGAAAGCCAGCAACTGCAGAGAGAAAGCAGGATGGTTACTTTCTGTTCCCTACTGCAAGATTACACACAGACGCAGTCATTTAATTAGAACCTCTCCTAATCAGAAAGGAGGAAACACTGTGTCAAAGAACATTTGGGAAATTCTAAAATAGGAGATCTGACGGAGCTGACTGTTTCCAGCTGTACCGAAGGAAACTCAGGCAGAATGGCTCACAGATTTGCATATCACAGATGGAAGGTGGCAATTGCCTGCCCCAGCATGCCTCAGGGTGGTACAAGGGAGACACCGGGAGAGAGAGAGAAAATGCATTATTTGTCATTTCCAACAGCTGCACTATATACTATGGTGTTCATCTGATGAAGAGATTGCTGGGGGCATTGTCTTTGCAGTAAGAAAAAATGTAAGACTTCCTCTCTTGTTCTTCTAGCTGCTCAGGGATAAGGCAGAGCTAGGAAAAGGGACAATAACTTCAGGCTCATATCTGATATCCTCAGTTCTGAATGGGGAAAAAAAGGAAGAAAAAAACCAAACGGAAAAAAATCCATTCATTTAACAAAAACCTGAATCATCCTGAAATGGCAGAAGCACAGGATCTTCTTTATACAACAAAAGAAAAGTTACTCATTTGCTCATATTTGGTAAGGTCTCGTTCCAGTCTATTCCACTTTGGACATTTGCTTTTTTAAATTCTAAATGTATAATATCTGTTACCCAACATTCAGAATTTTGATGTCCAAACCATCTCTAGATCTTTAGTGATGCTTATATCAGGTTTGCCTATTAAGGATTATACTTGTATAGAGAAAGGGAGATACAGCCCTGACTCCCTTGAGGGCTGCTTGGAACTTAACATTGTGTTCCTAGATGTATCACTGGCATCAATGACTTCTGGAGATAAATACATGAGCTTCCATCAGTCTCTATCAATAGCCCAGCCATCATAAGAGGGGGACAGGGTGCCACGCTGGGTATGTGGTTTATGATGTCCTCAGTACTTCCTCCCTAGCTTTTAGAGACAAATATGGATCCAACTCACAGGTAGTAACCCTCTTTATTCCTTTATTCTTCATAGTTTCATAGTTGGTAGGGTCGAAAGGGACCTGAGCAGATCATCAAGTCCTACCCCCTGCCATGGCAGGAAAAAGTACTGGGGTCAAACGACCCCAGTAAGGTGTTCATCTAGCCTCCTCTTAAAGACCCCCAGGGTAGGAGCCAGCACCACTTCTCTT